GCCCATCCTCGTCCTCCACCTGTCCCAGGCATGCACACCATGGCGCTTCATCCTTCCTCTGTTCCGTAGCGTGTTGTCCTGCCGTCACCTCCTATGTCTTCTCTTCCTCACGTTCCTGACCCTTAGTCTAACCTTGTTCGTGCTGTTAGTCCGACTGTCACTCGTCCTCTTGCCACGGCTGTGACTGGCCCTACGTTTTCGTCTCCTGTTGCGTCTGCCTTAGTCGCTGAGCTCGTTGACTTAGCTGCTCTGTGCCGCCTTGACTACGCTGTGAGTCTTGGCTTTGACTCTGACTGTCCTCCGTCCGTCACGGGTGAGCTTGCCCTTGGCTGTGACATCCTTAAGGACAGTTAGTTTGAGCTCGAGTGCCATGCTACTTTGCTCTGAGGGAGACCCGGATGCACCAGACATCTCCACCCCGCACTCTTACGAAGAGGCGATCACGGGTCCGTACTCCTCTTAGTGGCAAATAGCCACGCAGAGATTGGCTTCATGGAAGTCCACAGGCACCTACTTCGATGCAGTTCCCCCACCTGGGGCGAACATAGTCAATGGCATGTGGAATTTCATGGTGAAGCGGCCGCCGGGTTCTCCGCGTGTCTTCAAGGCGCGTTACGTTGCACGAGGCTTCAGTCATCGTGAGGGGGTCCTTCCTGACCTTCTCACCCACCCCGAAGATGACCACTCTTCGGGAGTTTCTGCACGTTGCAGCACAGCGTGACTATGAGCTGCACTCCCTCGACTTCTCGACAGCCTTCTTGCAGGGCAACCTTCACGAGGCGATCTGGCTGCGCCGCCCACGTGGCTTCACTGGGTCGTTTCCTGAGGGTACCCAGTGGAGCCTCTGACAGCCAGTCTATGGTCTGTGTCAGGCGCCCCGTGAGTGGCAGGACACACTGAGGACGACACTTGTGGCTCTTGGTTTCGCTCCCTCGACTGCTGACCCTTCGCTGTTTCTACGCACAAATACTTCTCTGCCACCTTTCTACGTCCTCGTGTACGTCGACGACTTGGTTTTTGCTACTGCTGACACTGAGGCACTGGCCTTAGTGAAGGCGGAGCTGCAGAAGAGACACAACTGCAATGATCTGGTTGAGCTGCGGAGCTATCTCGGCTTGCAGATCACCCGGGATAGAGCACCGCGCACCCTCACCCTGACTCAGTCATACATGGTGCAGCAGGTCCTTCAGCGCTTCGGCTTTCGGTTCTCCTCGTCACAGCCCACTCCTCTGCCTACAGGCCATTCGCTCTCAGCTCCACCTTTGGATGAGTTCGTAGAGCGAAGTGGTCCGTATCCAGAGCTTGTGGGTTGCCTCGTGTACTTGATGAAGTGCACACAACCTGATCTCGCGTACCCTCTCAGCCTCCTTGCTCGCTACGTTGCGCCAAGTAGAGACCGGAAGAAGCACTGGACAACTGCACAGAGGGTACTGCGTTACTTGTGCAGTACATCAGGCATGGGGCTTATGCTTGGAAAAGGGTCGAGTTGTTCTTATCGGTCACTCAGACGCTTCTTGGGCTGACGACCAGAAGACTCGCCGTTCGATACATGCTTACATTTTCAGCCTCGGAATGGGTTTAGTCTTATGGCGGTCCACTCACTCGTCTTCTGTACTTAGTTCCAAATGTGAGGCCGAGATCTATGCTGGGGCTATAGCTGCACAAGAGCACCGCTGGCTGACCTACTTGCTGACCGACTTGGGTGAGCGGCCTCGTTCTCCTCAGAGTCCTGTACGTCGACAACAAGGCCATGATTGCCTTGTGTCAAGTCCAGGGACCGGAGCACAGAACGAAGCACATTGCTCTTCGTTACTTCCTCGCGCAAGATTTGCATAAGCGTGGTCAGCTTCGCTTCTTGTACGTGGCCTCTCAAAGCCAACACTGCTGATGTCTTCACCAAGGCCCTCTGGTCTGGTGATCATCAGTGTTTTTGCACTGCTCTTGGGCTTGTGCCCACTCTGCCTCACCTGCTTGTCTCTTGATCTTGCTTTGCACCTGTTGTACTTTGATATATATACTTATACCTGCATGTTTCTGCTAGGTTGTGATTAGTGTGTTGCCATTGCTCTTATAAACTCGGCATGTGAACTGGCCTTGTGGCCTCTTGCTTGTGCTCGGACTGCGTGGTGATATTGAGATCCACCCTGAGCTTTGCTTTGTTTTCTTCTCTTGACTGGTCTTGTGACCGTTTGTTGTCCCCCTCCCCTCTTAGCCTATGGGGGTGTGTCCAACATTATATATCCCTGTAGGCTATCTCGGGGTACTCACTAGGGGGTACAACCCATTAGGGTTCCACATTTGTGACACCCTTGCTTGCTAGTCTCATCCATTCCTTCACTTAGTTTCTATCAGGGTGGTCAGAATGCCTATTGGCTTAAAGCCAAAAACCTGTATTACTCAACGGGAGTCAACGGAAAAAAAAAAAAAAAAAAAAATTGTAACGCTGGCACTTCGAGATTCGGAACTTTTGCGGAAGTCACGCTCTCCCGAGACGAAGTTGGTGTGGTAGGCAAACTGTGCCCAGTTTGCCTCTCCGTTTTGTAATTCGGATCTTCAGCTTAAAAAAACCGTCATAGCAACTACCATGTGCAAAAAATCGAGGAGCGGATACAAACCCAGTGCTCCAGCTAGATGCTTGCACATCATGCAAAAAAAAAAAATAGACGATTCATATTCTTGTTTTTTTCCCAATGATATGTAATGATAAAAAACAATATTCTTGTTTTTTAGCAGTAACATCTACATGCAACTTTATAGATTGTAGTATCGGGCTGTACAGTACCCAGGCATCCCCTTGTTTGCAACTTCCCAAACCCTTCTCCCCCCAAATGGTCGGGTCATGCGAACGTGAAAAATGTAACGTTTGAATGAACCCCGCCACATATTTCGAACAGAATGACCATTCTGTTCGCGAGCTGTGGGGCACCCACCCCTAACTACCTCCGTAATTAGAATTAAAATGATTTATCCAAGCTTCATTATTCGAACGAGTTGTGGAATAGACGGGGCAAAGCAAGAGAGTGATGTTTAGCAAGTTCATAGGCCTTCACGAAACAAATTTGGGTGAAGTAACTGGAAGTCGAACACCATCCCCTGCCCTGGAGTAGTATTAGTACAGGTCGCGAAAGTCCGTGGCGCAAAATTTAATGAAAATAGCACCTGAATATTTTCTGTAGTCAGTGTGACTACAACGTAGTGCTAATGTGTGGGTGTCCCCCAAATAGTTCGCAATCGTCAGAACCGCCCAAAGGTCGTATTTTCGGTTGGTCGGTACAAAGTTACACGCCCTAATTCTCCTACAACCCCCTGCCTCTCCTACCCTGCCGTAGCAACTACCACCCAACTAGCCATCGCCTCTCCCACCCACCTCGCCTTCGCCACTCCCTCTCACCCCGCCGTCGCCTCTCCCTCTCACCCCTCCGTCGCCTCTCCCGCCCATCCCGACGTCGCCTCTCCCTCTCGTCCCGCCGTCGGCTCCCTCTAAGCCCGCCATCGCCTCCTCTCCCATCCCGCCGTCGCCCATCCCTGCCACTCCGCCGTCGCCTCCCCTTCCCATCCCACCGTCACCGCTGACGACAGCTGCACGAGCGCGAGCTGGCGGGCGAGTGTGGGTTGGTCGCTGAGGCACAGTGGTTTTCAGGTGCGTTTCCCCTTTCTCGGTCATTTTCTCCTCCCTCCCCCCTCTGAAATTCCCTCACTTCCTTAGATTTTTCGTACGTTCTGTGTGTCGATTGGTTTCCTCTTGCGTTGCTCTACCATTTCAAGAGGGAGCGCGTGGGAGAGCGAGTACGGGAGCGAGCACGCAGGAGAGTGCGCATGAGAGAGCGCATATGAGAGTGAAGAAAGAGCTCGAGGGAGCGAGGGAGGGAGCACCAAGAGCGTGTGGGAGGGAGCGTGGGAGGGAGAGGCTGGAGAGAGTGCGCCGTTGGCTCTTGCGCCTAAGCCGCTTGCGCTAAGGGCGCTGGCACCGTGGGTGCTTGTGCTTAGGGCGTGAGTGTGTGTGATTGGCTGCAAGAGTGAGTGCAAGAGTGTGCGAGAGGTTGCGTGCGGTGGGGGTGTGAGTGTGGGTGCGAGTGCGGGTGTCAGCGAGAGAGGGTGCGCGGGTGTCAGTGTGAGAGGGTGAGTGTGGTGCGGGTGTGAATGCGAGAGTGAGATGCGCCCATGCATTTGAAGGTGAGTGCAGTTGTGAGCGCAAGGGCGAGCGCGAGGGTGAATGAGAGAGCGAGTGCGAGTGTGAGTGCGAGAGAGTGCGAAAGCAAGTGTGAGAGTGAGTGCGAGTGTGAGTTTGAGTGCACTCTGTGCGCACTCACACAGTCGCATGCACCCTCGGACTCACTCTCTCACTCACCCTTGAACTTGCCCTCTCAGTTACCCGTCGCACTCAAGCTCATAGTCACCCTTGCAGTCACTCTCGCAATCACCCTCGCACTCACCCTTGCATTCACACCCGTACTCACACTCACTCACACTGGCTCTCGCACTCAACCTGGCTCTCGCACTCAACCTTGCTCTCGCACTCAACCTGGCTCTCGCACTCAACCTTGCTCTCGCACTCAACCTTGCTCTCGCACTCAACCTTGCTCTCGCACTCAACCTTGCTCTCACCCTCGCACTCCCAACCGCACTCCCACTCACACTCACAATCACACTCACTCACTCTCACTCTCACACCACACTTTCTCTCTTGCACTCACCTTTGCATTCACACTCGCAGTCACCGCATTAGTAACCAACCACCTAAATGTCCGCACCATCAACTCTTCCAGCCGTATTTTTTCGACTAAGTTACGCGCCCTTAGTAAGGTTGAACAACTTGGGCTCCGGGCATTAAGATTTACTGTTCCTATGTTTAGCCTTGAGTTCATGCCGTGGAGAAAACCTCCGCTGGCTCGTGCACCATCAGCAGCACCCGTTTTGCTATCCACAACCCCCGAACCCCTCCTAACTCTTCACTCGCTGAAGAAACAGGTCCGTGAGTACACGACACGGAGCAAGCGAGGATGGTCGATACCAAGCTATCTGCTGATGCAGGATCTCAAGGCGACAAAGGCAGGGGGAAGGGAAGAGGCGAGAAGGCCTTGAATGAGAAAGCACAGGCACGGAAGCGGGCGAAGCTGGAGAGGCTAAAGAAGAAACTGGCGCAAAGGAAGGCAGCCAAGCGCGGAAGTGGCAGCGAAGAGGCAGGCGAGGCGGCAGGGGGGCGAGCGGCAGTAGAGAATGGGCGTGGGGGCGACGAGAGGGAAGGGAAGCGAAGGCGCATGGTGAAGCACCCCATGCGAGTGGCAGGGCAGCGGCCAGGCGAGCAGTGCTTCTCGTGCGGCGCCGCGAATCACGCCGCCAAGGACTGCCCGAAACGAAAGGAGCGCAAAGTGTCCAAGGTGAGTACTACTCGTCGCTGCGTCTCTCTCCACCTTGCCCTTGCCTTCTGTTCCGTACTCCACCTTGCCCTTGCCTTCTGTTCCCTACTCCACGGCGTTCGCCGCCCTACTTTCTTCGATCCTTCACTTACGTGGCTCGCTTCGGTCCCTCCTCTCTCGCCCCGTCCGTCCGCGCGGCGGTGTCCCACCAGGCCTGCCTCTTCTGCCGCCAGTGGGGCCACGTGGTCAGCGAGTGCCCGCGAGCTGCATCGGCATCCGCACCCGCTGTGCCGCACCCGCCAGGCGCCTCTGGCGAGCAGGGAACGGGGGTTGCGGCATTCGAGGGAGAAAGTCGTGAGCAAGACGACAAGAGTGCGGTGGGCACAGAGGGGTTGGGAGTGGGCATCTGCTACAACTGCGGCTCCACGCGTCATCGCCTGCACAACTGCCCGTTGCCACGAGCCAACGGTACGTGCTGAACGCCCATGCTGCTCGTCACCTGCGGATCATTGGGCGGTGGCGGTGGAGGGTGGATGCTGTTGCATCCGGTGAATGCCCTCCCTGCTGTGATCATGCGCCACTCGTGTGCATCATCAACCCCCAGCACGGTTGTGTCCCCCACTCATGGCTGACTTGCCCATGGGTTGTGCTGTGATGCTGGGTTGTGGTTGGCTTTTCAGGCGGAGCAGCACATGCAGTGTGCTTTGTGTGCCAGCAGAAGGGCCATCTAAGTCGTGACTGTCCACAGAACCCCAACGGCCTCTATCCCAAGGTGCTCTTTATATCAGATAATTTCTTCTCCAGATCTTGCAAAGGCTGTTAGTTCTTCGCGATGCTTCCCTTTGTTAGACACACTTTGGTTCTTTTCGCTGTTGCTGGCGATGTAACAATGGAGTTGGGTGTATGTCATTTGTGTGTTGTGCGTGCGCGCATGTCTTTCGCACATCCTTCAAGGTGGCTGTTGTCACATGTGTGGACTCAAGACCCATCTTGCTCGTGACTGTCCTTCCAAGCATGCTGCTGCTACGTCTGCTGCCGCTGCTCCTTCTCCTGCCAGCGGTGCAAAGATGGAAGGAAACCAAGGCACCAGGAAGCTGTTAAACAGTACGTTGACAACGCATTTGGTTGTGCTGTGCTTGTACCCCCACACAGCACCCGGTCTCTTCCTTGTACAGTGTTCTGCTCGCTTTCGAACTTCCTCTATTACCATTTCCATCCTCCACATTGAGCCCTTCTCCCCCCTCCGCTCCCCTCCCCTCCCCCCCCCCACTGCCATGCCCCCACTCTCCTTTCAACTCATGCGCCTTTCTTCCCTAAACCCTGGATGAAAGGGTTTCTAGTTCTCTTTCCTTGCCATATGTTTCCTTCCATTGCCGGCGTGTTGGTAATGTGAGACCGACTGCATGGTGTTGCAACCATGCTGGATGTCACATTGCAACTATGCTGGATGTCACATTGCAACCATGCTGGATGTCACATTGCAACCATGCTGGATGTCACATTGCAACCATGGTGGATGTCACATTGCAACCATGCTGGATGCCACATTGCAACCATGCTGGATGTCACATTGCAACCATGGTGGATGTCACATTGCAACCATGCTGGATGCCACATTGCAACCATGCTGGATGTCACATTGCAACCATGCTGGATGTCACGTTGCAACCATGGTGGATGTCACATTGCAACCATGCTGGATGTCACATTGCAACCATGGTGGATGTCATATTGCAACCATGGTGGATGTCACATTGCAACCTAAGTTGGAATATACGCTACTTTGCTTTTGCGTTTTGCGTTTATACGCTTAACGAATTCGTACGCTGCGTATAATTTGAAAATTCGCCGAGTAGAATTTCGGGCAGACCGAAAAAAAAAAAAACAAATTTTCAATCTGAATCTCACGACGTGGCGATCTCTATTTCGAGTCGCAGATGTCGCGAACTGAACTCGAATTTTGAATTTTGAGCTCCAAACCTCCTCAACCCCACCCCTCCACTGTTTCACACCCCTTTAAACCACAGCATTCCACCACCCCCTTCAACCACTACTTTATTGGTTGGGAGCTCAACCCAACCCAATCTCCCAGGCATAAAGAGTGGCATTTGTTCACTCGACATTCATTCTCTCGCTTCCTATTCTAGCTACCTCTTCTCCCCAGCCACCATGGCTGCTACTCCTACAGCAACAAGTTCTCGTTCTACACCTTCATACGCTCCTGGTAGTTCCACTGGAGGGACCTCTTCTGTTACGGCTTTGGTCTGCATGGACAGCAAGCACGCTGTGTACCGCCACTTCAAAGTGCCGGCCGACAGCGTTGGCGAGAACGACACCAAGGTGTGTGCCTATTACAACTTCAAGTTCGCTGGCGGGGTTTACCGCTGCGCGCAGCATATCACTGGCTGGAACGGCATGCGCCGTCGCGAAGTGCATCTCTGCACTGCAGCGCCGAAGACTGCACGTGACACCGTGAAGGCGCTTTACGAGTCCAAGTTGAAGGCCCGTGAAGAGAAGCGTGAGGCTGAAATTGCGGCGGTCGGCGCAGTCAACGGCGGAGGTTCGGAAAAGAAGAAGAGTCGAATGTCCGACTTCTACGGCGACGACGCCACGTGCGCGAACCAAGCTGCGGACGAGTCCATATGCCTCTTCTTTGCGGCTCTTCATGTGCCGGAGCATCACACGGACCACCCACTGTGGCGGAATGTAGTCTCAAGCATCCAGCGCGCGGGGCAGAATTACATCCCGCCGAAGAGACGCTACATCGGTGGCGCCGGTCTTGCAAAGTGTCGCCAGCGCATTGAGGTGGCTCTCGCTCCTATCTCAGCAAGCTGGCGCCGTGATGGTGTCACCGTAGCAAGCGACATGTTCTCTGACAAGGCCGGCCGCCCGCAAGCCAATGTGCTCCTCATCAACGATAGCGGAGCGGTGTTCGTGGAGTCAATCGACACCAAGATGGAGATGAAGACCGGCGGCTACATCGCGGGCATCTTGCGCCCCATCATCGAGAAAGTTGGCCATGAGAACGTTGTCGCCTTGTGTTTTGACAGCGGCTCCAATTACGCGGCGGCATGCAGGGAGTTGATGACGAAGTATCCCCACATCGAACACATCCCTTGCGCGACCCATGTCCTTGATCTCCTGATGGAGGACATCGGGAAAATGGGATGGGCGAAGGACATCGTCACGCGCGGGGACACCCTCATCTCGTTCGTCCGCAACCATCACTTCACCCGTGGATACATGCGGAGCGAGCTCGTGAACGGCGGCAAGGGGAAGCAGGTTCTCAAGTCCGCGGGAACTCGATTCGGCACCAACTACATCGCCATTAACCGCCTTTGTGAAGTGCGCGCCGGCCTGATGCAGATGGTCCTCAGCGATGAGTGGCGCGAGTGGACAACGGCTGCAAAGAGGGTTGGGGCAGATACCTTCAAAGACAACATCCTCGATGCCACGTGGTGGACGCGCGTCGAGTTCTTCGCGAAGCTGATGAAGCTCCCGTTCGTCGTCATGCGCAAGACTGACTCGGATGCGAAGGGCATGATGGGTCGTCTCTACGACCTTATGCTCCAGCTCACCGAGGACATCCGCGTCTTCCTTGACGAGCATGCGGAAGGGGTCCTGTCAAGGGGAGAGGTGGGGGAGATTCGGAAGATCGTGCAGGACCACTGGGACAATGGGCTGGCGTGCAACATGCACGTGATTGGCCGCATCCTCAACCCCCCGAACCAGGAAGAGGGCATCTTCCGCACCGACCTGGAGTGCACGAGGGTCTCAAACAGTACGTGTCCAAGCACTATGACGACCATACAGTCACCAGGAAGGACGGGGTCGAGCGCCGCGCCTCTCTCGTCATCCAGGAAGGCCTCAATGCCTTCCTGAACCTCCAAGGCAGCTTCGGCATGCCCGCCGCTCTTGCCGACCGTGCGGCAGTGAAGGAGGGCAAGATGACCGCGGTGGCCTGGTGGTCGTGGCATGGGACCGAACATCCGGAGCTCACCACCATGGCTTGCCGCGCCCTCACGCAGCCGGTGTCCGCGTCACCATGCGAGCGGAACTGGGCGACGTTTGATGCCGTGCATACGGCACGTCGGAACCGGCTCGGCGCGGAGAAGCTTCGGGACCTCGTGTACGTGACGCACAATTGGCAGGTTGTGCATAACTGGCACAAGGTCCCTGAAGGGCAGCGGGTGGTGAAGGAAAACATCGAGGACCCCCCCACTCCGGCTGGCTACAACGTCGAGGAGGAGGTGGAAGAACCTGAGGTGGGGGAGGATGATGTGATGGCCGATGAGTACTAGGACATGTAGAGTAGGGGGAGGGGTGGTAGCATGAATGTGGAGGAAGATGTAGTGGTAAAATAGTTTTACGGGTTTTTTTTATTCTGTAACTTTCATATTAATAAGCGGACATCACCCCCCCATCCCCACCTCTTACCCCAAAAATCTGCCCGGGAAAAAGTTTTTCCCTGCCCGGGCAAGCGTATTCTTGTGCGTACCAGACCCCTCAAGGCCAGCGTCTAGCGTATATACTCTCGCATATATACGAGAGTGTACAAAACGCTAAACGCGTTTATTCCAACTTAGATTGCAACCATGGTGGATGTCACATTGCAACCATGCTGGATGTCACATTGCAACCATGGTGGATGTCACATTGCAACCATGCTGGATGCCACATTGCAACCATGTTGGATGTCACATTGCAACCATGCTGGATGTCACATTGCAACCAGGGCGCCGCATTATGGTTCGTGAATACACTTGTACATCGTTCATTCCTCTGTGCTTCTGCTTCTGCTTGTGTGATTTGAGTGCTTGCACTGCAGGGCACCACATTTTCCCTGGTGGAGACGACTTGGGGGACGACTTTGGGGACGCTATTTTGCAGCCACTGCAGGCGAAGCGGGGGGATCAGCAAGATGGGGACGGTGGTGCTTTAGAGGATTTTGAAGAAGCTCAAGGTAGCGACGATGAGTTGCTTATGGGGAACGAAAATGCCGGTAGGCCAGGGAGGTTGGCTGGTCGGCGTTTCAGTGGCAGGCGGGGAGGGAGAGGCCGAGGCGGAGCTTTTCATGCTGGTGGCAACAGGCGCCAGGGAAAGGGATGGTGAACGCGGACTGTGCAAAATGTTTAGGAAGGATGTGTGGCCTTTTAGTAGGTAATGAGAATGTATAGTTTAGAATGTGGCAGTTACTGTCAAAGTACTAACAGCGGAATTTTATGACTAGCAAGGTTTGAGATACAAATACCGTCATCGCCCGGATATAAGACATATATGTCTTATCTCGTACACGGGCAAAAATGCTTGAGTTATCTTGTAAACGGGATGGTTTAGGGTGTCTTATAATTCTTATAAATGGAAAAAAATTTAAGTTGACTGTAACACTTGCAAAGTGTGTAGAAAACACCCAGGGACCAGATTCATTGAAACAGGCCGACCTCGGTGGTGATGCAGCAAAGCTGCCACCGCTGGCAAGATTCCTCTGTGCTGGCAGCATCTAATGATGCTGCCAGCGTCGTTTTGCTGCCAGCAGCGCATGGCAGCTTCCAGAACGCTGCTGGCAGCACGTTGGCAGCGTCAGGCTGTCCTCTACGAGGAGATGCCTCGTAGAGGAGCGGCTCGGCACCTGTGGATGGGGCACTCTGGCTGGGGAGGGTAGTCGGGCTTTCACTTCATTTGGTGCTCATGGAGGTTGAATTCTCACCTCAACCTTGCTCTCGGCAGGCTCTCTAACCATGCGCAGCAAGGTACCCCTAGGCAAGTCCTCACCTCGTCCTCACGTGCAGGTGAATAACTACGGGCGAATTAACTCGCCCGGCGATGACATCCGCGTAGCCATGGCGAAGAACGCGAGCAAGGCGGGAAGTCCTACCGCCGCCTCCGGTGCGAGCTGTGACGGGGAAGACGGAGACGAAGCACACGGCGACGACGCCGAGGAGGATTGGCCGGAGAACGGCCACGATGACAGCGCTTCGGGCGACGAATTTGGTACTGCCGACATCGAGGAGGACGAATGGTGGAATCAGCCGGTCGGGAGCGACGACGAGGTGGAAGAGTGGCGGGCTGGTGATTCCGACAACGACGGAGGTGAAGATGCTGGCGGTGACAACGCGGAGGCACAGGAAGCGGCGGTGGATGCGAATGAGGCTGCCGACGAGGCGGCGGCGGAACTCGAGACAGAGGCGCCTGCGGATGCGGACGCGGTGGCGGAGGCGAACAAGGTGGCTGCGGATGCCGTCTTATTTGAGGGTGAGGGCGACGACGACGACCCGTGGAGCCCTGGGACAGACGACGACGTTCCGCTACTGAAGCGGAGGCTGCGCCATCGCCTACAGTCCACGACGAAGCGCGCCCGCGTGGTGCTCTGTGACGACGACAATCCCGGGGAGGAGCGTCGCCCCCTACTCACCGCTGCGGAGAAGGGAAAGGCAAAGGTCGTGGAAGCCCCTGCTAAGTCCCCTGCTAAGGCCCCTGCTCGTGGCCGCACAAGCAACAAGAAGCGCAAGGACGACGGAGACCCTGGATCCAGCAAGGGTGCGGCAAAGAAAAAGGCGAAGAAGGCGCCGAATCCTGACGACATCATCGTCAACGAGGCGTTGGGCAGCGACGATGAGTACGCGGCGGCGGCGGGCCCGATTCCCACGTTCCCTGAGAAGGAGGCGCCGAAGGACCCCACCCTCCATAATCCCAACACCCGCCCACCTTCCCCTCGCAGCAAAGACACTACGAAGAAGCGCCGCGGCTGGACCGTGCGTGAGAAGGTTAAGTGGGCGCGCCGCTATCAGGAGCTCGGCTCCTTGAAGAAGACTAGCTTGGAGTCAACCGCGAGCGTCGCCTGCATCAGACGCTGGTGCGCGGAGGCGGCTGCGGGCATCTACAAGGGCGCGGCTAACTGCCGCAAGCGGATGCACGGGGGGGGCCGCCACGCACACTACCCCGACATGGAGGCAGCGTTGTACCGCTACATCTGCCTTCAGCGCGCTAACGGGGTGGCCATCTCGGTGAAGGACACCCAAAAGTGGAGCCGCGAGTGGATGAAGAAGCATTACCCCGGCAAGAACTGGAACGCGAGCTCTCACTGGAGCCAGCGTTTCCGTGACCGCTGGAACCTGGTGATGCGGGTGAAGATGAAGGTCGGACAACGTCTGTCGGCAGGTGCGTGGATAAGGATTTCGTGCCGCGCACGGCCCATTGTATGCATGTCTTACCTTGCTCGTTGTCTAACCGTCCCTCGCTTCTGTTCCTGTCCCATTTGCAGAGTGCGCGAAGGACTGCGAGTCCTTCTGGAAGTTCGTGCGCATCAACAGGGCGCGGCACAACATCGACCTGGCCCGTATCATCAACGCGGACCAGACGCCACTGTTCGTGGAGATGCCGGCCGAGAGGACGATCGAGCACCGTGGCGCGCGCTCGGTCCCAATCCGCACTGCAGGCTACCAGAAGACGCGCTTGACGGTGATGCTCGCGTGCACTGCATCCGGGGAGAAGCTGCGGCCGTGGGTGTGGTTCAAGAAAAAGAACGTCCCCAACTGTGAGATTCCAGACGGTAAGCGCCATGACTTCAACCTTGCCCCTGCCTCATGAGCGTGCCCCACTGTGCTGATGTCCGTCTGTCCCTTGTGTGCCTGGCAGGAATCGTGGTCCAAGCACAGGACAACAGGTGGATGGACGAGAGCGCTGTGCAGACCTGGCTGTCCAAGGAGGTGCTTCCCCATCTGAACCCCCAGCGCGGCAAGAGCGCGAGGCGTGCGATGCTGGTATTGGACTCCTACCGCGGCCACATCACCCAGACCATGCTTCAGTCGTACCGCACGCACAGCATCACCCCTGCAGTCATTCCAGCGGGTTGTACGAGCCAGATTCAACCCCTGGACGTCTCCATCAACCGGTGCTTCAAGGCTGCCGTGCGAGCGCGCTACGCCAGGTGGTTCATGCGTGAAGGGATTCACCTGAAGACGAAGAAGGGTGAGTTGGCTGTTCATTTTAAATTCCTGCTCTGTTTCGTGTCCTTATCGTTAACATCTCGCTGCCGTGTCCTCTGTCCCACCCGCAGGGAACCTGCGGAGGCCTCCGCACCCCGTGGTGCTGCAGTGGATCGCGGAGGCTTGGGATCAAGTCCCCAGGCAGATCATCATCGACGCGTTCCGCCACTGTGGGATCTCCAGCAAGCTGGACGGAACGGAGAACCACCTGGTGATGTCTCACCTGCGCGCCAGGAGCACCACCGATGTCTCCGAGGACATGTCCCTCGGGGGGACCACAGGCGACAACACGCGCCTGCTTCGGAAGGCTCCAGAGGAGGAGGAGGAGGAGGAGGAGGAGGAGGAGGAGGAGGCGATGCAGGCGGAGGGCGTGCGGGAGGTGGCCGTGGCAACTGGCCTGGAGGTGCTGTACCAGGAGACCCCCAACTACCGCAGAGCGGCGGCCGAGGCTGACCGCATGATCGAGCCAAGGGAGACGGCTAGGCATGCCTGGCGAGTGCCAGACCTGGGCGTAGAGCCTGTTGCTAGTGCTGCAAAGGAGGCGGTTACTGAGGGGGGTTAGGTAGAAGTAGGGATTCATGAATGTATGGATGTACCCCCCTAAAGTAGTGTAGGCTCGTTTAGAAGACACCCCCTGTTTATAAGAAAACCCCTAAACCCCGGTTCTGATTATAAGACATATATGTCTTATCTCGTACACACAAATAGGTGTCGTATAAAAAGGCTTGCCTGTTTATAAGAGACACCCGTATAGTAGACAACCCCTGTCTACTATTCAACACTGTCTTATATCCGGGCGATGACGGTAGGCAACTCCTCAGGGCGGATCAAATAGTCCAACCATTGAGACAGGTGGTCATATCACAAGACCAGTCAAGAAAACCAACAGGGCAAGAGAAGCAACTCAAGGTGGTACGACTAGCTAACCTTTGGGAAAAACGACCACAAGGCCAGTTCAAGGGTTTATATTGTTGACATAATATCGAGACTTGTGCACTTCAAGGAATTCGTGTAGTGTAGTTAGTACAGTAAAAGTACCGATAGGCTGACGTCAGCAAAGCGCTACGCGCTCTAGGATGACGTCAGCAGTAGCTGTAGGTATCGCGAATAGTCACGTACCGTTTCAGGCTAATAGGTACATTAAGCGAATAGGTACTTTATCCTAGTATATATTCTGTATGTTTGTCATTTCTTAATATACTTGATTACAGAGATATTAATCCTGTTACAAGTCACTCATATAAGACTTCCACTGCTACAGGAAGCTACTATCCTAAGACTACGATCCTATTCAGACAGCTTAAATTCTAACATGGTATGAGAGCAAGTTAGGATTATAACAGCTTCCACCTGCCTACTCTACAACTATGTCTGGATCTCCAAGGTCCAACAATGGCTCTTCTGTTACGAGCCCATCATGCCCAACAGCGTCTCCAGCTGCTGATAATTCACATCTGCAGCAACAACAACAACAATATCAGCAACAACCGATGTACGGCATGCCATTGAGCAATCAGCCCGTACACGCAACTAGAGCAGCGGCATCATCGACAGCAGCCGCAGCAATAGCAGTATCAGCAGCCACAACAGCTGCAGCTGTAGTCACTGGTTCTTCTAGTCAACCGGGACAACAGTCCAACTTCGTACCGACTGGACCTTACCAATATCAAGGTGCTTACCAGCCAGCAAATCTTCAACAACGTGTTAATGCTGCCGTCTTGTCGCTTAACCAGATGTTTCCAACTCCTATGAGCATTGATGGCTCCAGTTATCAGCGTGGTCAGATGCCACAAGGAAGTGACGGGTCGAACAACTCCTTCTCTTTTGGTCCTGCTGGACAAGGACAACAAACACAACAAGGGTCACAGGTGCCATCACTTTATCAGCTACAATCAGCTGACTGTACCGGAAATTATATTCCTGCTTCTGCAAATCCAACAAAAATTAAAACGACAACGCCTTTTAACGGTCAAGACTTTTATACCTGGAGCTTTGAGTTTGAGCTTCTTGTTCAGACCGCGGGGTTCTGGCAGCTGTATGACGGCACAGCACCTTTTCCATCTCACGGGTCACCACTTCAACAAGCCACTTTTCGATCGGCGTCGCTGACTGCATACACAGTTCTCGTTCGTAATCTGACACCGACTGAACAGCTCGGAATTCGTTCTTTTCGTACCAGTGCCGCTCCTGCTGAAGCAGCTTGGTTGTACCTGCAAGGGGTTCACATGGCAAAGGACACTGTCAACCAGAGTAAAATTTTGACACAGCTGTCAAATATACAGATGATAAACGGCGAGAAGGTGACGCAGTATATCAACCGCGCTCGAAATTTGCGTGATCAACTTCAAAAGTGTGGAGGGTACTTCCCCGACGCTATGTTTCACACGGTGCTACTCGCGGGTCTTGGACCAGAATGGCGACAGTGTCGCTCTATACTTCGGATGCAAGCACAGTTGTCCGAGGGGGCACTCTGTGCCGCTCTCATCGCCGAGCAGCAGGATATGGACCTGCACAACGCTCGAGGAGGGAAAAAGATGGTAAACAATACAGTCAGCTTTTATTCCAATCCACGTCACAAGCCCGTTTGTTCTTTTTGTCGAAAAACAGGACACACTATTGATACCTGCTGGTCGAAAGACAAACCATCTTGGAAGCGGTCTGCATCGAAACATACCAAAGATTCTTCAAGTGAAGCTGAGAAGCCGGAAGCTGAGAAACCGGATGCTACGAAGCTGAATTCTGCGAAGCCGGACCCTGCGAAGACACAGTCAAAGCAAGTTATTACCTGCATGACATCAGTTTCAACGGTTTATGATCCTGATGCTGAAGAGCGGATTCACAACCGGTTCAATGACGAACTCAACACACCGATTCCACCTGAGGTCTATGCAAATCTTGCACATACTATTGCAGGTCCCAATACTTGGTATCTCGACAGTTGCTGCGGTCAGCACATGTGTTCGTCAGAGACGCGTTTCATTGTGAATCAACGCCGTCTGCAGAATCCCGTTGTCATCACAGTCGCCAATAACCAACGGCTTACAGCTCACTGGATGGGAAGTATCGTTCTGGACTCAGTTGAAGAAGACTTCAGTCTTCACCTGAACGAAGTTCTTCTGGTCCCTCGACTTGGCTTCAACCTCATGTCATCTGCACAGCTCATAAAGAACGGAATTACACTTCTCGGTGAACCTGGGAAATTCACTCTGAAGTACGGCGACAAGAAACTCGGCACGGCAGTTGAGCAAAACGGTGTTTTCGTTTTGAACTTCATACCTGAGCGCACCACTGCCGACTCTGATAACATTCTCTCGCTTGGTCCTTGGGAGCATCACGACGACATTGATTACACCGACGATACAGTTCCACGAGAGGGAGTTGTCCTGACGTCTTCAACCACGGCTGCCGCCGTCATGTTGACCTTCGACGATCAAGGCTTGAATGATGTTCAATCCTCCCGGGAGTACATGGCTGCTGTTGAAGGTTGGGGTGATCCGACGAACATGCCGACTAATGACGGCATCTGGGGGGCTGACGAACCAGATGAAACAACTTGGGGCGAAACGCCTGCTGAACGTGATGATCGTCTCCTCGCTGAAGCTGAGCAACGCGTCGCTGATATGGAGATTCTTGACTCGGGTCGTCTCGTTGGAGTTGAACCTATACCTGCAGCATCCGATCAAGAAAGCGGCGAGTTAGTACTTGCTCCAGGCGAGTACGTGGATGTTGAGGTTCGTATTCCACCACCAAATCTTACTCGTTACGTCGCACCTGCTTTCGATCAGATCCGCTCCGATGGTCATCAGCTTCTGTTGTCGTTCTTCGCTAACGCCGAGTATTACCTGCGCGCACAAGGTCACAAAGCCACGGGAGAAACATGGCATAAGCGACTCGGTCATCCGTCGCAGTCTACGCTAAACAACACGATCAAGGCTGCAGTGCTTGACAAAAATTCGTTACTCTTACCGAGCGGTCTCGAACTGAAGCCGGTGAATCGCCCGGCACCCTGCACCATCTGCCCTACGGCGAACCTACCGCACGAGCCGTTCCCGACTCATTTCCCTGGAGCTGAAGATTATCACCTGATGGATAAGGTTTACAGCGATATACTCAATTTACCCTCGGATGGTTTCAACGGCGAGCGCTACGTTATCACATTCACAGAAGCTTCTACTCGTTACGTTTGGACTGGAAACATGACTAACCGTTTTCTTGCGTTTACAGCTTTCCGCACCTAGCTTCCTCTCGCCGAACGAGAGTCTGATACTAAGCTAAAGGCGTTTCAGTGTGACGGCGCCGGCGAGTATCGCAGTAACGAATTCACGACCTATCTGCAAGAACGCAGGATAAGACGACTTTTTTCGTTGCCTCACGCTCATCAGCAGAGTGGCGTAGCTGAGCGGCTCAACAGGACTCTGCAAGAGAAGATGCGAGCCCTTCTTGCCCAGGCTCAACTCGGCCCACTCTACTGGCCTTTCGCCATGGACCATGCAACGGTGTTGCACAATCTTCTTTCGTCCTCGGCCCTGCCCAACAACGCCTCACCCTACTTGCTGTGGACGGGCAAGTTGGGTACCACTAAATTACTTCGTGTTCTCGGGTGTGTTGTTCAGTACCGTCCTCCTACCGCTCCGCTCGGGAAGTTCGACCAGCGTGCTAAGTGGGGGCTGCATCTCGGCATTGAAAAACAATATCTTGCCTGGCGTATCATGGATTACCGCAGTCGTCTCCTTGTTCCTGCTCGCGACTGTATTTTCTACGAGAATCTGACACTGCCCGTCTTCGAACAGCATCTTGCCATGCAGCACAACCCTGCCACGCTTTTCCACGGTGTTCGTTCGTTCGCTAGCGCCGACGCCGAACTTGCTGCCAGCGAAGAACCTGACCCCGACGGTGCACGTGAAGCTGTTCCCGACCCACCTGTCCGCGTCACGTCCTCCAGAATTCCGGAGTTTATTCCTCTTGCTGACGCGGCACCTGAGGATGTTCGCGATGTTTATCATACTTACCTCGTGGATGAACAGCGCCAACCAATGCCGGTGGTTTCCGATAGCAGCATCCGTGTCAACCCTGACGAAATTGGGGGGGCAAGTGGAGACCAGAATGATTCTGTCAATTTCGCAGGTCGCACCGACGATAATCCGCATTATCAGACCGGACTGCAAATTCTGGGACTCGCAGCAGCGGTACAGCACAGTTCTACAGTGAATTTGGAGCCGAAAACTGCCCAACAAGCTCTTTCAGGGCCTCATCGCGAAAAATGGCGTGAAGCGATGGATCGCGAACTGGCTGCCCTGGAGAAAAGGGAAACTTGGGATCTTATACCCATTGAAAAAACGGTAAACAAAAATGTTCTTACCGGTAAGTGGGTCTTCAGGGTGAAGACGAAAGCGGATGGTACTTACGAGAAACACAAGGCACGGTGGGTGGTTCGCGGTTTTGATCAGACACATGGGATCGACTACACGCTTACCTTCGCTCCGGTCAGTCGACATACGAGTGTTCGACTCGTTCTCTGCGAAGCAGCCGCGAAGAATTTTCCACTTCGACAAATCGGTGTTTCCAACGCTTTTCTGTACGCCGACGTCGATGCCGAAATCTACGTCGAATATCCGCACACCTATCCGACAAATCCGCCGAGTGTCTGCAAGCTCAAAAAGTCACTGTACGGAATCAAACAAGCACCGCGACTGTGGCAGCAGCATTTGAACAGGAAGCTGACGGAAGTTGGGTTTCGGCAACTGCAGCACGATCCCGGGATGTACCGGCTAGACGACAAGGGGAGCTATGCGTTGTTAGTGGCTTACGTGGACGACATCCTCTACGTCAGTTCATCGACTTCGCTGGGTGATCGTATCGAAGCCGATCTGAAGAAATCGCTTGACTTAACCATTTCCACCAAAGTAACTCAATTTCTGGGGTTAAA